CATCTTCGAGCGCATCGCGGGCGAGGCGTCCCGCCTGGCGCATTACAACAAGCGCTCGACCATCACGTCGCGGGAGATCCAGACGGCCGTGCGCCTGCTGCTGCCCGGGGAGCTGGCCAAGCACGCCGTGTCCGAGGGCACCAAGGCCGTCACCAAGTACACCAGCTCCAAGTGAGCCCGCTTGCAGCCGACCGCAACCCAAAGGCTCTTTTCAGAGCCACCTACAGTTTCAGAGAAGAGCTGATGCATTTTGGCTGTAGTGAGTTGCCTTTGGTAGTGTTTGGGGGGCTAGGTTGGGAGAGGGGAGGTAGCTGGGAAGAAGGGTAAAACGCTGGATAAACATTTAGGCTCACTACCATGCCGATTTAGTGTGGGTTCTTTGACGCCCTCTGGAACGAGGCATCCAGTTTTGCGCTGCCGCAGTCAATAGCCGAAATTTCGCCTTTGGTTACACTTTATCAATGGCCCCTGTCGTTAAGCCTTGGGGATTGGCGGCAGATCTCGCCGATAAACAACCCTACTTGGTGGAGAGCAGTTCCCTACTTTCATCGTGTTCTTGAACTCTGCATCCTATTCCTTCCCTCCTTTTTCTTCGCTCTTCCTGGCGTTGATGTTTTTCCTTGGGAGGCCCTCGGAGCGGCGGGTTAGGGCGCACTGCCCTCTACTGCCATCCTGTGGCAGAAAGCGGAGGCAGAGATCCAGGGCGTTGCTTTTTCCAGATCGAATTGAGATGTTTTCTTCGAAGTTCAACTTCCCAAGGACGACCGTGAGCTGGGGTACATAGAGTCACTATTTCTATCTCCCTTCAGCCACTGGATTTAAGTCTCTCCAACAGTCGGTCGTGCTCATGAAAGAAGGGGAGTCAAAGATGTCAATAAGTAAATAAATAATCAAAATACTCAGCAACCTAAAACAAACAAAAAAACCCTGTTCTGTATTTCTGGTCCTCAAAGTATAAATACTTTAATGTTTCCTGTAAACCTAAACATCTGACAGAACACTCATACCCTTGATTTTGCTGGGCAGCTCTTTGAAGACACGTCAGGATTTAGGAATATGATTACATATAACTAAGTTGCACTTTCTTTACCAAACAAGTCAGTATACACTTGGTAACCTTGGTCATTTTGCAGGTCCCTCTGCCCTTTTAAATATGTGTGTTTCCCCCTAAGTCTGACTCTTGCTCTTTGCTCGTAGAGTTTCTTTCCAAATGTTTCTCTTAGTCCTTCTTTGACACTTCCCTACCTAACCAAGTTCAAACATCCTATTAAAATGCTTGCATTCGTTTTCTGGTGTTGCCACAACAAAATACCATTTATTTGGGTGGTTTAAAAAAACATATTTATTTTCTCAGGGTTCTGTGGGCTTCAAGTCCAAGATCAAGGTGTGAGCAGGCTTGGCTTCCCTCCTGGGCTTGCACCTGAGAACTCATGTGGCCTTTTTCTCTGTTTGCACACCTCTGGAGTCTCTCCCTTTCTTCTAAGAACATCAGTCCTATAGGATTAGGACCTTCCTTATGACTTCATCTAACTTTCATTACCTCTTAAAGACTATGTGTCCAAATACAGTCGCACTGGGGTTAGAGCTCAAATATGTGAATTTTGAGAGAACATGCTTCAATCCATAACAGCACATAAGGCCATTTTCCATGCTTTGCTCTCAACCTTCTATTCCAGATTGTCTTTCATAAAATACCTACATCTAGCTTAAGCTGCCACTAGAGACAGCTGTGCTGTCCCCCAAACCAGAGGTTTAAAGTCAAATGCTCACAAAGGCCCAGCCCATAAGAGCGAAACTGGCTGGATACTAGAAATCAGGCCTCAGCTCCACAAAGAAAGGTGCTCTTTGCTAGTTTGCTTGAAGCACATGGACTCCTGACACCAAATTTTGTTTTCCCGGTTTTAATAGCGTATTTCACTGTTCTCTTACTGCCGCTATAAGAACAACTGTACGTTGAAAAATGCCAGCTAGCATCTGCCCGTGAAGGGGACCAGTTGGAACGTCGGAGACCCGAAGAACACAAGGCCTATGCAATGGGTTTCACCTGATCGTTGCCCTGCGGAGCTGCAATCCCTGGACAGCGAAACTTTCCATTTTTCAAGGGGATATGCATTTTAATATGGGATATTCTAAATTTTCAGTATAGGCAGCTAGTAAAAAATGTATAACATAGCGCAGATTAAACAAAAAATGTCTGCATGCTTCATCAAACCCTTAAGCTCACAGGTGGAGATCTCTGGGCATTAACAGAGATTTTTGTGCCCATGACAAGCTGTCCTATGTCCTTCCCCTGCCACCAAAGCCCAGATCCCATGCCCAGATCTCTCCAGCTTCCTAAATCCTCCCCTGAAAAGAATCTGTTTGCTTGGCAGCTCTGGGCAGAGACCAGGCATCCACCAGCTATTTCGTGCCATTTAAGTAAATGGATAAAGAAGTGAGCTAAAAGAAAACTTTAAAATTCTTTAAGCCACTACCAGCAATGAAAGAGAAGTGGTGAAAGGTATTTGGAGTTGTTTATTATGGATTTAATAGTTACCTGGATAAATAAACCCATTCCTCTCTAATTATGTGACCTTTGTCTTATTGTGATATATTCTCTACCTACTTTTCTTTGGTCTAGTCTCAACATTTTCTCCGTTTTCTTTTGCTGATTGTCCCCATCTCTCCTGTCTCATCACAAAGGAAAGGAAAGAAACTGTAGAGGCCACAAGAATCTTAAAGTAAGTTCCACTCCTTCCCTTCTTACTGTGACTCCCTTCTGCAAACGGCCCACCCTTGCTCCCTGAACCCAGGCTCTTTCTTTCTCTCTCTTTTAGCCCATTTTCTACTGTCTATTTAAATGAGACACAGACTCTCACATTCTGTTTAAATCAACTGTCTAGTGAATCACTGATTTTATTTTATTTTATTTTTTACTTTACCTTCATGCATATGAAAGAAATAAGAACCGAATTGTCTTCTGACTGAACAAAGAAATATCACAAAGGTAAAGGTCTTGAAGGCGAAAAGGCAGTTCCAGTTAGCATCTTACGACGAGGGCAACACATTTTTAAAGAGAAAGACATCAGAAACCAATATTGCACTGTATGTTAACTAAGTAAAATTTAAATTAAAAAAATTTAAAATTAAAAAATAAAGAGAAAGACAATCATTTGCAGACTTAGAATCCAAACGTGACTTTCAGAGGTCATACAATCTGAAGTCAGTCGCCGTCTTTGAAAATCCTTCATCGGAAGTATCAGTGGCCAGGTCCATTTTATGAAGCCCTCCAGGATCTCTTCCTCAGCAGCTGCAGAGAAGGGGCTTTCTCTGTCCTGCACCAGAAGAGGTCTGTGTTTTCAAGGTTAAGTGCTGGCATTCCAACCTGTCGGTACCTACCGATAAAGGCAGGCCTGAGAATGAAATGTTGACATGGAGAAATAAAAAGGGGAGGGGCGCCTGGGTGGCTCATTAGTTAAGCCTCTGCCTTCGGCTC